GGCTTCCTGCCCTTAAGAATTTAAATGCATCACTTAAGACATACCTCAGAAAGGGTAGCATGGATCTCTGAGCGCTGCGTGAATTCAGGGGTTACAGACCCTAACCAACCCATAACTGGAGATTAGACTGGATCCTATTTATAACCCACCCATCTCTCTGCTGGTTCTGTTAGTATTTATTGAGCACCTATTTGCGGGGCACTTGTCTTGGGCTGGGGCATGTCTGCCTTCCTCTGTCTCCCACTGTGCTGGGTACACAGGAAAATGAGCACACGCATATTGACATTGAAATGCTGCTTTCTATGCCTTTAGCCATGAAAGCTTAAGAGCCAGAAAAGCAATTTTTAACTTTATTTTCCCCCCAAAGCTGTAGTCTTTAGGAAGCTTTTCAATCACTCAAAATAGCTTAGAAGATAAATGAGTAGTTTGCTGCACTAATTCACTCTTCGGATTTCCACATGATTTATGCCTTGTTTTGTTTATTGCTCAAATAAGCAAAATCAGAATGGAGTGCATGTTTATTCTGAGATATGCCAAGTCCAGATCATTTCATCCTTCCTGAATCATTTTTCACCAGTCCATCTCCACCCACAGGTGATCCCTCACCAGCCTGCTATGGATTCTTCAGAATAAATGAAGAAGTAAAAAGGGAGGGGAGTGGTGGAAGGGCCCAGACCAGCCCAGGGCCTCCGCAGCCAGAGCTCTGCCTCTCTCTCTCTCTCTCTCTCTCATGCACCACGCACGCCGGAGCATGTCAGAACGGCCCAGTACGTGGTGGAGATGGACTGTGGCTTGGACTACCTGGGGGGCGCTGCTGTGGTCCCCGAGGGAGGCTGGCCCGGGCTTGTCGGAGGGAGACTGGGTTCCACCAAGCAGGACTTCCTCAGGAGTCCCTGGGTCAGGACTCTTATTGAGAAGTCTGGAGACACCAGGGCTGTGTCTCCGCAGGAGATCAGCACAGCAGAGGGATGTCTGCACGGCAGGGTCTGCTGCAGCATCGTCCACAATAACTAAGGTGCAGGGTCAGCCCAGGGACCCGTCAGCAGAGGAAAGGATAAAGAAAATGTGGCACATGTACCCAGTGGAGCATTATTCAGCCCTAAAGAAGAATGAAATCCTGCCATTCCAGCACAATGGATGGAGGGGGCTGTTAGTGGAGGGAGACAGACACAGGAGACGAGGACCGTGGGAAGTTCTGTGTCACACGTCACAGAGCAGTGAATGCCAGAGGTCGGAAGGGGCAGAAGGCGGGGTGAGGGAGGCGGACTTGGTCAGTGCCCGGTCCACGTGTGCAGACACCACTCTCAGCCCACTGATATTCTCCACCAGTGCGTGGTCACTGGAAACAAGACGCAGATCCGTGAAGCTCACCGCCGACACCTGTGTGCCTTCCTCACAGCGGGGCAGGACGGGCAGCCCGGGGAGGGGCGGGCGGCTTCGCGGTTCCTGTGCTAACTGCCAGTGGTCGTCGGTGCCGGGACGTCGTTCCTTGTCTCGTACAGCGGGGACCCTGTGGATCCTCCTCCTTCTGTTCCGGGTCGGTTCCAGCCATGTCTACTGGGCAGAAGGAACTTAGAAGACTCTATTCTAGAGGTCCATCATTTGATAAATGATATTTCTGAAACAGACAATGTCTGAGTGAGCAGCAGGTGGGCAGGGGCAGGTCGGAGGATGGGGACGCTGTGACGGAGGGTTGGTCATGCTGTTTCTCTGTGTGTGGGTGACAGAATGGCCTCGGGGAAGGGGAGGAGTGAGGAGGCACACAGGCCCAGCCGCAGAGGCCGTCCACGGGCCTGGATGCGAGCCCTTCACGGAGGGAAGCCTCCGGCCAGGCAGGAGGTGGCACGGGGGAAGGCCACGTGGGAAGGCCATGTGGGCAGGAGCCAGTGGGCAGGGAGGTCAGGTGGAGCGCGGGGGAGCCCTTTCCACGACGCTGTGCAAACCCAGGGAGGCGCGCGGCGGAGTGCGCCCCAAGGGAACCAGGCACCCCTGAGCCATCCCGTGTCCGACTGGCTCGTCATCGTCCCCAGTGCACTGCGGAGGCGCCGTGGATGATCCAGGAGACCCAGGTGGGGGGAGGGGATGCATGGAAACCGTACTTTGTTCAGAGTTTCTGTAAAAACTGTTTTTAAAAAATAGAGCCTGCTGGGCACGGTGGCACGCGCCTGTGATCCCAGTGACTCGGGAGGCTGAGGCAGGAGGATCCTGAGTTCAAAGCCAGCCTCAGCAAAAGCCGGGTGCTAAGCAACTCGGTGAGACCCTGTCTCTCAACTAAACACAATAGGGCTGGGGATGTGGCTCGGTGGTCACGTGCCCCTGAGTTCTATCCCTGGTACCAAAAATAATAATAATAATTAAATTTTTAAAAAAGCCTATTAACTTCATAAAGATGTCCCCGAGGTCAGGCCCCTACTGTGAAGGCCACTGTCCTTCCAGGGTTGGACTTGGCTGTTGGGAGTCCCTCAGGTCAGCATCGCATTCTTTCTCCCATCCCGTTGGAGTGCCTCCTGATCTTCTGACCCACGAGACGCCCAGCACCTCCTGTACCTCCCCTGCCTCCCGTGCCCCTGCCCAGAGGCCTGCCTCCTCGTACTGGACCGTGGTGTTTAGAGACCAAGGTCTGGTCCTCCACGGTGCTCATGGCTCAGGTGTCCCTGCTTCTCAGCCTCTTGGAGGGTGGCACAGGGACAGGTGTGTACCTTAACACAGGGACACGCGTGTGTGGAATCTAGCTGTACGTGCATTAAACACCTTCAGTTTACCCGGATACCTCTTACTCGGGCCTCCTGCGCCTCCCCCCGGAGTTTCCCTCCGCGGTCAGAAGGCCCACCGTGGCCTCCGCGCTTCCCTGGTGGTGGGATTCTCGGGTTCAGACGTTTGGTTTCAGATGTGAAGACCCCACCCCTGAGAGCAGCACGTTCGCTCCCTTGACTGCAGATCTATCCACGGTTCTTCTCATCTGCGTGTCACGGTGCCCTGTCAAGATCCGCCTCCCAGAGTGGCCCGTGGCCGGCCATGGCTGCCGGGGCCCTTCAGCGTGGTTTTGCAGGAAACCTTCTGTCCAGTGTTGGGTCACCCTCTGTCGGACCCACCCTCCCAGCCTCTGCTCTCTGCCACCCTCCTGCCACCTTAGTACTCCCTAAGAGAGAAGGATGCTGTGGAGTTTCTCCAACCACATATTGTTTCCAATGTTTATCAAGAAAAATGAAGTTGGATGACCATAACTCTCTGTGCTCTTGTGCTGTTGGAGGTGTACCCTCCTGGATGTGTCCCTCCAACACGAGCTCACCCACCCTGTGAGCAGCAAGTTATGAGAGAGCTGGTTCCCCTGCAGCCTCGCCAGCACCACGTGACATTCTTCTCTGTGCCCCTCTTTCTCGGGCCAGTCTTATAGGGGAGAAATAGATGGTTTGATTTCTGCTTCTCTAATTCTACAGGGGCTTCTTCATGTTTGACGGTCATTTTTCTTTCTTTTTTGTGGATTGTGTGTTCCTGTTTTGTTCTCAGATTTTTATCATGTTTGCCTTTTGTGTCCTCCATTTTTAGAGGCCGCCTTGGAGACCTCTAAGTAATTGGGGCATTAGCGACTTTTGGCAGGTGCTATGAACATTCCCAGCGCATCGGTCTGTTCTTGTTTACGATGTTTTTTTCCATGCAAAATTTTCAGTGTTTCATGTCGTCAGACCCATCAGTCCGTCTTGCCTCTAGGTTCTGAATCGCCCTTAGAAATAGCTCCTCTACACCAAGCTCCCAGGATGTCCCCCACGTTTACGAAAAAGACATTTGAAGCACAGAAAAGTCAGGGTTTTTAGTAATCCATCTGCCACCTGCAGTGACCAGCCCCTCTGCCAGGTGCCCCAGGGCCACCTGGCCAGGCGCCTCCCCTTATCTGGGACCCCTCCCAGCCCAGAAACCTAGGGAAGACTGCCCTGGAGCAGCAGAGACCCACAGTCCCAAGACTTGGCCTCCTGCGTGGTTTTTGTTCATGTGTTTCTTTGTTTTGTTCTGTACGTTGGTCCGCAGTGAGTTCAGAGTTCTCACCTGATGCCTGCCCCTTCCTCACCTGCTTCACCCTCCTTCCCCTCTTGCCTCATCCTTTGTTCACACAACCCCTAACACCCACCATCCTCTTTTCTCAAAGACCATTCCACCACTGTCTCTGGGGATGAATGAGCGCAGTCACAGCCCCAGCTTCGGCTTAGGAAACACAACGTCAAGGTAGAGCGCCCACTGCGCGCCTGCCGGTGCAGCGGGAGCAGGTGCCACTCCTCCCACGTCATCCAGAGCAAAGGCAGAAGTCGTCTTTTCCGCACGTTGAAGGCAGCAGTCGATAGAAAAAGCACCGAGATGCTGAATACTTGCGATGTTACTAGGGATTGTCTGGTTTTTTAAAATTTCCCGTAACCTGCATTCATCATGACCTTGAGGGACAGGGAGAAGACTCTGTGGTCGTGGCATTTTGCATATCAGTGAATGAAGACTGAGACATTTTAGTGACGTTTGATAGGGCAAAACCTTCCGGTCCCCCTTCTCTCCCCTGCCTCTGTCCCCCCCTTCCTCTCTGAGGGTCCCACCCAGAACGCCCCGTCCTGAGACACGGTTTTTAGACAGCCAGAACGACCTGGAATCGTGCTTAGGAAGGACGGCCGTCAGGAGGGCCCGAGGCGACAGTGTGGCTGGGAGCGACACGCAGGGCTGTGTGTGTCCGGGCTTGGCCTTGACGTCCTGGGTCTTTTAAAAACTGGTCTGCAGACCTCTGCATGTTTTCTCTGGGTGGATATTTAGGTTTGGGTTGAAGGAGGGTGACCTGTCACCGCCCTCTAAATGTGTGCAGTGCAGCTCCTCGGGACGTGGGCCAGACGTGGCATCTGGACGCCGAGGAAGCTCCTGGAGTCAGCGCCTCGGGAGGGGAGGAGGAGGAGCTGGAGGGTGAAAGCCAAGGCATCGTCCACTCCTGGTTCCCACTGTTTGTCTGTGTTTCTGTCTGTCTGTGTCTCCAGAGATCCTCAGAGTCTGGACCCTCCGGAGGTGAGCAACGCCAAGCTTCAGTACGCAGGATGGGGTCCCAAAGGCCAGCAGCTGGTAAGAGTCGCGAGCAGCCGCACGTTTGATCCTGACGGGGTGTTCCAGGGCGAGCGGATGAGTGCACGTGGCTGGCGTGGGAGTGAGTGTGCGGGTCCAGCTGGGCTGGGTGCACAGGCGGTGTCCGTGTGGGCGCCAGACTCACAGAACTGGACTGGCCTCTCTCCTGGTTCCCTGGATCCCTTCAGCGGAGCCCACCTTACCTGAACCTGGAGGCTCCACAGGGTGGCCTCCTGAGGAGGAGGCAGTGAAATGTCAGGATCCTGGAGTCGTCGGGCATCCTCTTGTTCTCTTCTCCCGTGGAGAAGCCCCCAGCCCCTCAGCCCCCGGCCCCTCGGCTTCACATCCTGGATCCCCACTCATCCTGGCAAAGCTGGTGCTGCAGAGTCTGCAGCTGGTAGCACGGTGGTGGAAAGGCCCAGCAGTGCTGTGAGCAGGGTCCAGGCCTGGACGCTGTCCCCCACAGCCCCTGGGCCACTGGCTGGGCTGCAGCCGACAGTGAACAGCCTCTGGTCAGGCAAGGGATGTGATGGCTGGACCCCCCCTCACCGACTCTCACACCACTGCACAGGGGCCCCTCGGCCCGCAGGACAGGCCACTGGGCTGACTCAAGTTGGCAGTGTCATTCCTAAAGCTCTTGAATCTCTAAAAAGGACATCAGAACACAATGGGTGCTGACTTCTCTGCAGAGCCTCCCCACCCCCTGAGCCCCGCACAGGCTGCCAGGCAGCCGGGTCCGGGGTCCCTCTGCTCCCACTGTTTGTCCCAGACGCTGCCCGTGGCGTGTAGACAGCCCGGTCCTCTGCTGGGCACTGCCCTCTTCACCTTGGTCCTCTGGCGTGCCGGGACTGGTGCCTGTGCTGTTTTTGGAGGTAAAGAATGAAAGCATGGACAGACAGACTGGTCCATCAGTTAACATCTTGCCTAAACCACGAAGCCTGAAGGAATCCCAGAGAGGTAAGTAGGACTGAGGACAGAGGCCAGGACGGCCCTAATGGTGCGGGAAGTCCCCTTCCTTCCCACTCCTCGGAGACCCGTGTCACTGAGTACCAAGTGCTGATGTTGGGCCGAGTGCCGAGGCGCTAGCTGGCTGGCGGAGGTGTTGAGTTTTAGACTTACCTGACCTTTGGGGTTTTAGGAGGCATCCTGTGCTGCATCTAAGAGGCAGCGGGATGTGTTCCAGGAGTGTCCGTGCGCTGAGCAGGGGCCTGTGGCCAGGAGTCCAGGCCTTGCAGCCTGAAGGCTCCCCCCACAGCCGTCCCCCGTGTTGTCCTGACACACGCCAGACAGGACGGCAGGAGTCAGGGGGCGTGGCTGTGCCCCAGCAAATCCTGTCACGCAGGGCCGGAGGACCTGGGCGGCTGGTCCACTGACTGACCCTGGCCTTGGATCTTGTCCTCTGTGGGGCCTCCCCAACTGGGAAGGCCTGACCCCAGGGCCACGGCCCTGGTGACAGGGACACTGAGCCTGCTCCGTCTGCAGATGAAACCTGTGATCGAGAGCAGGCCTCCCCACTCTGGTCTCCAGAGTGACGGCCAGCAGCGAATCCCTGGTGGCCGCTCTGTTTTGGAAAGTCAGTGTTGCTCCCCAAGTCGATCTGCTCTCGTGGTGATGAGCCAGGCCTGAGTGGGTGACTCTCCTCAGGGAGCAGACAGCTCAGCTGCAGTCACAGTCCCCAGGGACTTTCAGAGGCCACAGCCTCCTCGTGCTGAGTGAGTGACTTCAGCCTTTGGCCCCGCCCTGTGAGTCCCAGGAGCCGGCTCAGGGCCCGCCCTTCTGGTGCCTCTGCGCAGTGCCCGGGGAGGCTCCTACCCCCAGGTGAGCTTGCCCAGCCCTCAGGTTGTGCCACGGGTGGGAGGCCTCCTGAGGGGCCGTGCCTGCCGGAGGACGGGAGGAGCAGGGCGCAGGGGCCTCACGGGGCAGTCGGCCTCTGGCCCATGCGGGTCTGTGGTGGCAGTTGTTCTCGCTGGTGACCAGATGGCCACTCCCTCGGCTTGCTGGAGGCCCAGGAGGTGACGCTGTCCTCGGAGCCTGGAGAGGAGAATGGATGTGGCAGGTTACACAGTGCAGATGAGAAACAGCTGCCGAGTGTCTGCCCGGTGTCTGCCCCGCGCCCTCCGCCCTCAGCCGCCAGGCGTGGGCACAAGGCCCGACGTGCAGAACAGCTTCAGAGGCGTTCTGCACGCTGCGTCTCCCTTCCTTGTCTCCTCTTTGTGCGCCTGTGTGAGCTGGGGACCCAGGTGCCTTGGCCTGGGCCTTGGCCTCGCGGAGTCCTGCCTCCCATGAGTGACTTCATGTGGCCGTCCTGCTCCCTGCGTCACGACTCCGTCCTCTGGCATAGAAACAGTGCTTCATGCCCTGGCTTCTCTTCTGCTGGAGACGGTTAACGGGACAGACCAACCTGGAGGGCGGGCAGTGGAGAAAGCCCCTGGGCCTCGGCAGCCCATGAGCGAGGCCCGTGCGGGTCTGTGGTGGCACTGTTCAGGGGAACAGATGTGAGCTTGCCGCATGGTATTATTTACCCTTTGGAAATGAGAATGATGGACAATTTTGCAGAGAAGGCCACACGGCACAGACAGCATTAGGCACTCAAGGCCGGGCTCCTCCAGAACACTCGGACCTCAGAGGCAGGCAGAACGGCCACCGGATGCTGATGAACGAGCAGCTTTGGGAAGCACACTTAATAAGTCCTTTGGGGAAATTCAACAGCTCAGAAAGTGAAAAATGAAGAGCAAGGGGAGGAGGTACCCAGGAACCTGCCATCTCCCGAGGAGCAGGAGGCCCATGGCAGCTGTGGTGGGGTGAGCGAGGGAAGCCACCTGCGTATGATCTCCCAGGGCATGAAAGGCCACCATGATGTCCTGAGACAGGAAGAGACAGTTAAGCATTGTTTAGCCAGACCAGAGGCTGCAGGCCAGACATCAGGAAGAACTGCCTTGCTGATACGGCAGTTAGACCTGGAACAGTCTTCCAGGGAGATCATGGGTCCCGGGAGCTGGGAGTCCGCATTGAAACCCTGTGTCTCTAAATGGTTAAGATGGCGCTGTCCTGGGGTCTGAGCAGGGCACCCTGGATGCCCACGTGTTCCCAGCACCCAGAGCTCTCTGGAATGTCACGGCGATGGCCAGCAGCAGGGCCAGCTAAGGTGAAGCCCCGAAGGCCGTCCCTGGAGTAACCTGTGTGTCTCACCTTCTCCCGCCTGTCTGTTCCCTGCTTTGAACACTCGCACCTCTGGAGACAGGTGGCTGCACTTCCTGCCCTTGGCCTGGCTCTCTCAGGGCCACCCTCAGAGTGGCCCTAGCCCTTCCACCCATCATCTTCATGCGCTCTGAAGCTGGTGTGGCCCATCTGCCGTGGGCCCTGGGCGGTGGGACCTGGCCGTGTGTGATGCTCTCCTTTTTAACCAAGACCTCGGGCCTGGGGGGGCACCACAGTCCAGGCTGCCATGAAGCACAGACAGAGGGTCCCGTGGGCAGCACCCCCGCATCTGCACTCAGCCCGGGCAGCCTGTGCGGTCAGCAGCCTCCTGTGGCAGCCACCAGGGGGCCGAGAAGCGGGACCAGCCCTGCCCCCTGGGCAGCCTTCCCCCGGGCACCCATGCTCAGACAGATCTGCATTGGGGACAGCGCGGCAGGGAGCGTCGTACTAAGGTTGACAAATCTGGCAAGGGGGAGAGAGCTCTGTTTCCAGCGAGAGGAGAGTATTTAGTGAAATGTCCTGTGCCTGCCGAGGACCAGACTCGAGGGACGTCCATTAATGACTTATAAAGGCCTCTGATCGATTTGGGTTAATTTGGTATTCATTGTAGAAACATTCGTCACGGGCCCTGAAGTCCATGACAGTAGCCAGGAAATTAATATCCAGGGATGGAAATCGCCCCACGTGTCCCCAGATAATGGATGGAGACAGTTCGGTGAGTGATTTACTAGCCCTACCAAGGGCCCTTCAGAGGCAGCACGACGTGTTCTGCCGCAGGGCTCTGCGGGGCCGAATCAGCTTCACGTCCCTGCACTCCAGTAAATAAGCCGCGTTTTTGGTAATTAACCTGAAGGATGGGGTCACATAGCAGCGACCGGATGATCAGTTAAAGAACTGGGAGTCAGGAAATGGCTGCAGAAGCTCCTTCCTGCTGCCGACCATCTCTCTGAAGATGCAGGGATTCAGAAGACAAAAGCTGAGTCGTGACCGTGGTCATGGAAAACGGCATGGAGGCTCATGGGGGTTTGAAAAGACAGCTACCGTACAACCAGCAGGCCCACTCCTGGGCACGTATCCAAGGAAATAAAATCGATGCTTCGAAGACACATCTACACCTCCGTGTTCACTGTAGCACAATACAAAACAGCCAGGAAACGGGATCCCCCGAGTGTGCACCAGTGGACACATGGATAAAGAAATCGTGCGCCCCACACACAGTGGAATACTGTTCATCCGTGAAAAGGAACGAAAGCCCGTCATTTGTGACAACATGGATGGGACCAGAAGACAGGGTTTTAAGTGAGATCAGCCAGGCACAGAGAGACAAGAACTGCGCAGCCTCACTCCCAGGGAGAAGCGGGATGCTGTCTCCAGAGGTGGAAGTCAGAGAAGCTGAGAGTGGGATGCTGTCTCCAGAGGCTGGGAGGGAAGGGAAGAGGGACGGGGACAAGGTGGTCCGCAGTCTCGTCTTAATGAGACCCCAGGAGTAAGGCTGGTGGGCACTGAGCGACGGTGAGGCACTGGACACACCAATGAAGCCAGGAGAAAGGATCCGGCATAGATTTACCACAAGGAAATGACCAGGGTTCCAGGAGACAGATTCGCTCACCCCAATTTGAACATGGCACAATACACACATCAAAACCTCACAAGGTGCCCCACCTGCAGGTACAGGTGTGTGCATCCATTAAAAATAAATTTCAAAAAATGCCCCTTCAAAAATATGGCTAGGAGGACTAGAAGAACATGGCACGCATGCCTTCTGTTAAATGATACAAGGGTCCAAGATAAACTGCGGGGTG